TGGGCTGAAGATTTGTCTGTCCATTGGAACTTGGCTGAAGGACTCTGTTATCTCACAAGCTGGCTGGCTGCTCTGTGGCAAATGGGCTACAGGTCATATCCATGGAGGATATGAGCTCAGCATCAGCTGGAGAAATTGAGACAGAGTAGCTGCACTGCCAATCCATCCAACAAAGAGGTATGCAGTGGTGGGCAGGCTGCCACAAGTAGACACTTCTGATGTTTTGAAACCTCAGTTTTTTGAAGGAGGGATACAGGGCAGCAACTGAGATTTCTGCATACGTAAAGTACCAAATGGAGTGCAGGGGCCCTCCAGCTGACGAGGCAGCAGGAGAAGACCTAAATCTGCTCCAGCAAGGACTGCAAAAGCAGCAGGAAGATCAGTGCTGGTAAGAAGAGTGACCTCTGTACTCTGTCAAGAAAAAGGAGCCAGGGGTCAATTGGGAACCTCTGGGAAAGGAAGGCTCTGAAAAGGCAGTTCCAAGCTTGGCAAAGCTAAGGCCAAATGGCAGTCTTCAAATTCTGTACTTTTGAGCAACGGGTTGTGCGTCTTTGTGGGTGGCGTCATTTTCATCAACCCAAGTAGTTCTGCTTCTGTCAGGAGGGGCAAATTCAGTAGGCAGAGCCTTAAAAAAAGAAACAAGCTGGAGTCCCCAGATGACTTGTAGCTCCAGCCAGGATTCTTCCTTCGCTACACAGGACCAGCCTAACTGTTGGCCTGTTGTCCTTTTAAGATGACTGCCCAGGTTTCAACAGACAGCCAAAGTGCAGTAAGCTGTGGCTAAGTAAGCCCTCTGTGATTGGGATGCAACTTGCACTACCCATTGCAGGCTGATTCTCAGCTGCATTTTGGCTCCTTTACACTTTAAAGCCCCTTTACATGACCAGATTTGGTCTCCTGGAATTTTTCTATTCAGTTGCATAGTAAGGAAATCTCTCTGCCCCAAAAGGGTTCAACCTTCTAAAAGGTCAGATCCCCTTCAGCAGTTTACAAGAGCCAATGGCAATCTGCTTGAAAGGTTCCTGCCTCTCCACCACTCTCTGTAGCCCCTTGACAACCTGACTCACACTGAGGGTGCTGACAGAAGTGACAATGTTTGCCCAATCTGGCCCCTGAAAGTGCTCTACAGCTGTGATCTAACTCAAGTGGCTGCAGAGCACTTTACAAGGGCCCAATCCCCTGACAATCTGAACCCTCATTACATGAGGGTCCAGATGAAGGTACTTCCAAGTGAAGCGCCTTCACTAACTTGTGTCTGCATGTGCTGGGAGCACGGCTGCTCAGCCCAGCTCTGGGTGCTGTTTTCAGAATGGGAGCAGGGGAACGGAGCAGCGAAGGGGTAGGGGGTTGCTCAGCTGGAGCTGGAGGGTGGGGCAGGTGGATTGGAGCCCCCCACTCCCAAGGTGGGGACTCTAATCCACCCACCCCACCCTCCAGTACCTTCCTCCCCTGCCTTCTCCCCCTCCCATCCTGAGACAGCACTGGGGGCTAGAAGAGGGGCTGGGGCTGGGGGAAGAGGCTGCAGAAACATAACCTCTCTCTGGATTGGCTCCAAATTGGAGCTTGATCCTCCACCCTCCCAACCCAGCAGCTGATGTCTGTTGGGTCAGGAGGATCGATCTAACTCATGGGACCTGCATTTCTGTCTGTGCTCAGGGGCTGTCAGGGGCTGTGCCAGCCCAGCAACTGCATAGCAAGAGAGAGAAGTGAAGCATGTTATTGTGGACTTTGCAAAAAAAAAAAGGGAAAAAAGAGAAAAAAAATGGCCATTGTTTGCTGAGAAGGAGAGAAAAATCTGGCATGCTCTGTTCAATTCCTTTTCTGCTCTGCCCCACACTCCCTCTCTGAAAAATAAGGTGCCCCTTTTGACAGCTGCTGGAGCATCATTCTCCCCATCCTTGAGGCTCATGCTGAGCAGTTTCATGATGGCTCATCCCATTCACTTGTATAAGCAGCTAATTACCATTCTATAATTAGCCACAGATGGAAGCACCGGCTTAGGAGGCAAATGCTGCAACAGCAAGGTATAAAGGGGACAGGCAGCGGGACAGGGAGTAGCTGAGCTGGGGGATGCTAAGATTGAAAGATGGGTTCAGACTAGGGAAGAATTTCATCAGGGAAGGGGGCAAACAAATGCATGAGTCAAAACGTGTCAAAGAAATGTCAGTTTTGATGCAGATGTTATATTACTGGGAATATAACCGAAATAGGTATTCAAACCATAAGAATTATCCAGCTTTTGCACAAGGCTTATTTTGTAGCAGATATAGACAACAGACAGTATTTGTTTATACACACATCCTGGGTACGGTGTAGACTTATTTTACATTATCAGAACATTTGCAAACATGGCAAGAATGTTTGATGGTGCTTATTAAATTCTGAAGGAAACGATTCTCCGAACAACTCCTTCAGTGAAGACATCAACAAACAAAACTTCGGCTCTATAGAGGGAACTCACGATGCCTGCAAGCAGCCTCAAGTACACAATGAATAGGAGCCCTTCAAGCAGAGCAAAAACTTCCCACAACTGTTCCTTTGAGCTGGGGAGAGAGGGGAGGGTAAGTATCAACAGCGCCACTCAAAAGCAATCTGATCCACTCCTGCTAGTGCCTTTGACCAAGTCAGCAAATCTCATGGTCAGCTGTCTCAAACGTCTAAAGGAATCATTAGCTTCTTCCACTATCAGAAGGAGTAATGCAGCCAATAGAGCTTTTACCCAATATCCGAGCCAATAACTCAACTGATTGCTGTCACAGAAATCTGAAGAATAAAGAATCTGCAAAAGTTGCCCTGACAAAACCTTCTTAGTGTCCTTCCCTAAAGTTGGCAGATGGGATACAGGTCAATAGTTAGCCAGATTGTTGACAGTAGCATTAGGTTTCTGAACTCTGGTGCCCAGAGTTCTTGTGATAAGAGGATTTCAGAAATGGGTCTGGATTATGTGATTTATTTCACCAGCTGTACACATGCATATATCCTTAGGGGAGTAATATCCATTGAAAAAAGCCTAATTATTTTTAGTGGAAGGGGTGGGCACTCTTTTGCCAGGGTCTGTTTAAGTATGTGTCTACGCCAGATTTGAGAAATGGTTTGCTAGCCACCCAGGGGAACAGGGGAAATGGGAAAGCACCTTTCAGTACAAGATACACAATGGTGAAGGGTGGGGTGAGGAGGGAAGATTCAGTACACAGAAGGTGAGCATCCACTGGGACTGCACATGAGGTGGAACAGCAGCATCCCACAGTGAAACTACAGTCTCTAGTGGATTTACTAATGCTTGTTTTCTTGAATACGTTCAGCTGTGTAGTATTGGGAAAGTTTCAACCAGTGCTTGGTTTGCTGCAAAACACAACTTGATTGTTAATTGTGGTAAAGAGCCTGAAAATCACAGAGAGAGAGAGAAAAAGAAAATAATGGAAAGGAAGCTTATCGTCGCAACCAACAGCTAAAGTAACAGGGGTGTTGACAACTTCATCTAATTTTTTAACTTGCCTACTGAAGTCAAATAGAATACTTCTGCCAAGTGATGTAGTTCAATAAAAATGGAAATAATGGAAATGTGTTCTATTATAAACATCTTGAAGACAAGAGCAGAGTTAAAAACAGTAGCAATTTATCACAATCTAGTATTATGTAAGGTGTAACAGGACAGTACTGATGGCCTCGGGTGAGTAATAAGACATGGCTAACTGTTTATGAGCCCAATTCTATTCTTGTCCAAGTTAATGCGAAGGCATCCACTGCTTTCAGTGAGAAATGGATCAATCCCCTTGTGCCTACAATTTAAAAAGGCAATGGAAAAGGTGAGAGATATACTTAAGAATTCCAGTTTTCTACAGGGTGTCGTCTTACTCCCATGAAAATATTCTATCAGAGGTCATTTACAGCATATGTTTTTAAATATGTCTTCTGTGTATGCAGAAACAAATTACAACTGCAATTTACCAACTTTAAGCCTAAGAGTTTTGACAGCTTAAAATGCTCTTTTTTTAAAGCCTTTAAAAAATTCCGTGCAACTCTTTTACCAGTTTTAGAGACAGAGGATATTTCTAAGCACAGGATATGACTGCACGTCGTAGGAACATCACATTCTGCTAACTCTGTACAAGCAGTAGTCCCCATAGCATTGATAACACTGTGAAAATTCTCAAGAAAACCAATTAGCACACAAAATCAAGGAAAGGCCTTCATCATTAATTTCTTTAAAAAACACTGCTTTCCTTTTATACCTGAGGCACCACTCTCCTCATCCAGAGAGGGATCAACCAGGACAAAAGGCCATTAATCCCTGTCCTCTGAGACATTCTTTAAATCCTCCTCTTGTAGAACAGAAATGCAGGCAGAAATCCCCAGCCTTTCAGTGTGATCACTTTGGACTGACAGATAAAGAGTATAATTTTATTACCACAAAGGGTAAATCACTTCCTATGCTCTGTATTCATATGAAATCAATGCTTTTGCTACTCCAAACAAACAATTCATTGCTTGCTACTGTTGTTTACTATTGTAATGAGAAAGAAACCTTGGTGAAAGAAATGACACCACTACTCCCTTCCCCCCCTATCCTTTGTGGTGGCACAATTATCTGCGTTATTTTTAGACAATGGTAAATAGAAATGTTGATTACTAATTTAACACCTGTCATGCCAGATCCTCACTGGTGTAAATTACTGTAGGCAATGAACCCAAGTTGATTTATAACAGCTGAGAATTAGGTCTACGTTTTAGAAAGGAGGCTACTGTATTTTCACTCATTAACTACAAAAACACTAATGTGCGCCTTTTGTGCTTCACTTAAGAGACAATGTATTCATGGGGTAGGTCCTACTAAAGCTATAGCTATAAGCTGTTGATCTGACCTAATAGATTTTTGGGTGTTTTTTTTCTTTAAATTAAGCTTTTTTTTTAAAGTACTTGCAGAATTGGGCCTTAAGAATCAGCCAACTGAGTGATAGAAGTACAAACCTGCGAACATACACATCTATAAGAAAACTCACCACTGTTAGAAGCATCATTGAGATTTAGCAGCCCACTTCCTAACCCTCTGTAACTATGGTAACTGTAGGTCCCATTTCCATTGATGTACAACACCTCCTGTGTGCTGGAAACAGCCGATGTTGAGTAAGTGACCTGGGCTGGCTCTTGTTTATATTGTTTGTCAGCTGGAGCAGTCTCATCCTGAAAAAAACAATATTTCATTGTAAGGCACCAAATTATTTATTGCGTTACAACTTGAACCAGAGGGGCTTTTTAATGTTATTTAAAAACCTATGCATGGTTTCCACAATGGGATAATAAACACAGAACAAGAACATGCATGTTTCCAATTGACAGATTTCCACCTGAAAAGAAATAAGAATAGCTTGGGACCCAGATTCCCCACATGCACTATTATTATTTATTTCTTTGTATTGTGCTTGAACACCCAAATGTGTTCAGCACCATCCAAACACACAAGAAGATGTGGTCATTATCTTAAGGTACTTGAAATCTTCCTCAAAACTGGATTCCAAAAAAACCCCCCAAAACTGGAAGGAACTGGGAGCAAGTGACTGCTCTCTGGTATTAAAAAAATTACCCTCCTGATGCAAAGAATTGTTTTTTCCCGATATAACAACCACTATAAAATGCATTAATATATTCCATAGATGCATCAGCATCATGAATGCTTGGTAACAGCAGGGAAAAAAATGGAATTACTATATGTGTGGCATGTTGCAAGATACCATGTTGCAAAGGGCTGTTACTGCCCCTACACAAATGGGCCAGCAGAATGGGTAGCCTCAGCAAAAATAAACATATAGATATATGAATATATAATCTGCTTGTGGAACAAACCAATCTTTGCACAGTAGGACACTACCAAGTAAACAATTCCTCTTTCATTGAGGGCTAAGCTACTGTGATTTAGTATTCATTTACTGTGGGGTAGTGAGAGAACCTGCTGGAGGTACTCTCTTCTCCTGATGGTTAAAGCAAGATATGGACATGAGCAAATGAGCTGACCAGTTTAGCAAGCACACCTTGTATAGCAGGCACACCTTGTGCTCATTCCTTCATGGGTAGCCCCATGTGGTGGTTTTTTAAATCATTCCAACATTCACTGCCAGTAACTCATCTGGGCTCAGTAGTATGCAACAGCTTTTGTACCATACAATCCCCTCATACTACCTGTCTAATGGGGGCTGGAGTGGTGGAGGTGCTAAGGCACATGGTAGACAGAGATTACAAACTTGAGGCCATAGTAGAAGTACTCACGGTGCAACCTGTCAGACTCCAGTGAATCTGCAAATTCTGCTTAATACCCTGTCACAAGGACAGGAAAAGGAAGGAACCTGTCTACCTCTTAGGTACTTTTGCATGAGGATGGGCAGGATTTAGCCTGAGGACTCAAACTTTTGCATAGTATGATCACATTTAGCTAGAGAGATTGTCTTGTACTACCTGTCCACTTGTTTACTGTTACATGGACCACCTCTTACCATTTGTGACCACAGAACATTCCTAAAGCAATAAGAGCAATTACTTACATAGAAAAGTTACAGTGGAAATATCTGATGCTGGGAAAAAGGAGAACTAGCACCATGTTACCAGATAGCCCCTTCACAGACCATTGCGTGAGAACCTCTGATTTAGTTTTATTTGGCACTTGTTTTTTTAAAAGCTATTATGTACCTCTTTGTTTCTGTTTTCTTCTCAGTCTAATTATGGCTCCACCATTCTGGATGTGTAACACTTAACTCCTTGGGTAGTCTAGCTGATTTCCGTGAGCCTAGTAAAGATACCTGAACTAGCCCTCTGTGACTAAGATGACAGTATACATCTGTAGAGTACTTCATGCAAATTCAGCTGAGATTGCTGTACTTCAGTAGGGTTCAGGAATAATTTGAATGACTAACACACATGGTTTCTGATTTTATATACTAGTTGCATTGTAAGCTATTTAGAAGCAAAGACTATGGGTCAGATTCTATTCCACCTACTGAACTTCTAGGTGGACTTAAAGACTTAAGGGCAAATCTATTCCACCCTGTTCAAGCTGCCAAAAATCTATATTGCAGCTACTTTTGTAACATGCTTCTCTACCAATCTTACCCTTAAGACTGAGTCAAGAAAAAGCAATGAGGAGGACCTACCTATCTTTTGTATTAATGTTTTTTTCACGGCTCAAGCAGAGTGGAATAGAATCACACATAGGCCCCTAATAGGTAGAAAAAAATCTGACCCTACACGCGTTTACCACAGGGGTGGGCAAAATGCGGCCTTGTGGGCTGGATGCGGCCCGCCAGCCCATTCTATCCGGCCTGCGGGGCCCCTAAAAAATTTAGAAAATTAATATGTACCTGCCCCTGGCTGCCTGTCATGTGGCCCTCGATGGCTTGCCAAAATTCAGTAAGCGGCCCTCTACCCGAAATAATTGCCCATCCCTGGTCTACCATGAACCATGATGGAATCCTGGTCCCTGAGTTTCTTTAGGCACTAATTAGATACAAATCAGTAATAATTAGGATAATTTCCTGATACAGATTCAGTGAAATATATTTCAATGTCTGAAAAAATAATAGATCCATGGAAAGACATGCCTGTCAAGTACACAAGCCAGATCTAATGTGCAAGCATTTTCAGAGTGGTTAAGGGGGATGAACTGGCATCTGGTAGTGAAAACTTCCCCCCATGTAATAATTTGTTCAATTTATTCCACTTCTGCATGGTTCTATTATGGTTACTAAAATGGTGAATTATAGTGAATTTGATTAAATGTCCTGGAGCTTCTTCCCACTGTTTTTTTTTTATTAAAGCAAAGGATTATTTATCAGCACAATGCATTCCTGGGTTCCTCAAATACTTTGAACAATAGCCCAATTAGCCTATTTCTGTTTGCAACTAAGAAGAACCTAACATAACTTTTCCTTTGAACACATAAAACTTGCATGTTCCATTTTAGGGGTTACAAAACTTTCTGAGACAATACATTTACACTTGTTGATGTTATAAATGAGGTTAAAGATTTAGACACAACTAAGATCATTCAAGAGAAACAATTTGCATTTTTTTAGAGAAAATGTTCCATGTGTGTTACAGCAGAACATAGAGCAGCCAGAAAATTCATTCCATTAACAACCAGATACTGGCCTTGTGGGTACTAATTTGAACTGAGGCATAGTTTTTCATTAAGATACTCAGCTGTACCAAATTGCACTATATTTTGTTTTATACACATACAAAGTTCCAAACAAGAGGTAAAAAACAGTAACGGATTTTTCAGAGATTAAATTTTAATGTAATTCACTTTTTAATCAGCATAGATCATAGCTGTCTCTAACAAAACGGAATGCATGTTTTCTATGAAAAAATATTTAGTAAGTTAGAGAACAAGGAAATATTTCTTGCCAAACTTAAAACATCAACCGTTCCATCAATTCACAAAACTGACACTTTCTTTTCTGATTTGATAGGAAATCTCTTTCTTTTAAAACTGGATGATGTTTCCAGACTCAGATGCACCAGGGCCTGATTCATTTCCTATTACATCCAATGAAAGGATCTCATTAGACCCAGTGAGGACTTATATTGCTTTAAATAGCATCATCCTCCTTCCTCCTTGTAATTGTACATTGGATAAATGACCCTGTTTCACTTTTGACATATGTATTTTTGCCATATTCATCGCTGTATATCTAATTCATACCTGACAGATATTTTTCTATTCCTTCCTCTTTACAGATTCACAGAAGTTTAGGGCTGGAAGGGACCTCATGAGATCATCGAGTCCAGCCCCCCTGCTCTAGGCAGGAAAGACTGCTGGGGTCAAATTAGTTTAGTTATTTTTGATTTTTAAAAAGTGTGAAAATAAAACATACTTACTACAGGTCCAGAACTCTGAGACTGTTGCCATTCCATTCAGGCACAAACAATATTTCTGGCACACTTTCATTCAATTTTTCTGCCATACACCTATACCAAATTAAGTCTAAAACCCAAAATATAGAACTGTTTCAGTTATTCGCTCTGGAATATTCAGGGCCTATGAACACCTTGAAAAAGACATAGAACTCAATAGCTGGGTAAGAAAATAGGACCCTATTTTCCAAGAATTTGCATTTACTTATCCCTAAATACATGTGGGCTAACCTCCATTTCAATTATATTGGTAACATAACAGAAAGGGGTGGGAGCCAGTGCATCACTTTGTATTCCCACGTGTAAAGATTAAAACCCTAATCTGCCTGCATCTGAACCAGCTCTTAGATGCTTTTGAAACCAGAGAGGTTGCAACTTCCACGTGTATTTTTAAAGACAAAATGATGGGGCCACACAATTTTCATACAAGACAGGAAGGTCAGATGCCCTTTGATTTAACCAAATAAAATGAAATAATGCTGGAACAGATAACAGCTAACAACAATTGATAAGAAACTGGCACTGTTCCTGTAAGCAGGTCACTCCCTCAGCTCCCTTCTCAAGGACAGTCAGCTCTGAGTTTTCAGTTTTTCAGCCAGTTGATTTTGTCATGGGGAAAACTTGTCTCCGCAGACAGTACCATGGCAAGGAAGTTTGTCAACCAGGGTAAAGCCCGCAGCAGCAGCCCACCCTCACCCCGTGCACAGATCCGGGGGGCACGCGCCCTCCATGTTTGCCTAGGAGTGCGTGCAACAGTGAGAGCTGCCCTGCCGCCATCCCCGCACCTTCCCAAACAAGCCTCGTGGCTCTGTCCCATGCCCTGCCCCAGCTGGGCAGCGCCTGTTGGTGCCCCTTCACTTTGGTGCCCAGGGCAGTCAACCCGCTCACCCTCCCTTGCTACAGCACTGCCCATAGAAACAAAACAAACAACTAAGTGTGCAAACACAGACAGACAGAACAGACTAAAACCTGCTATCTTTCTTCAGACCCTGAGCGGGCAACCCAGGATCTGTATTTCTTCCCCGCACCACAGCCTTCCCTCTCTCTCCTTTCAACTCTGCTCCTGCAGCTTTTAACCCTCTACTCTCACTTTTGTGACTCTACTCTTCTTCACTCATCATCAGTTGCAGCTGACCCCCAGCTTTCCAGCCAAGCAGTCTATGAACTGCTGCCTACCTGCCGCTGGGGTCTCAGCCCCTGAAGGCTGTACCTCCTTACAATTCCATTTCTGCTTGCTTTAATGATGCAAACTGGCCTTTTTATGTTGTTGAAACTGG